TTGCCTTGGTGGATCCTGTGTTGTTTTTCAAGCACATCAAGGCCACCGAAACATGCAAAGCTGGGAAAAGTGTCATAATGGATAAAACTAAGTTCTTTATCACTTAATCACTTTGCTGTGCTTAAACATTGTCAATAACCAGGCTTTAAAACTGCTGACAATTGATTATAGAAAACAACTGAAAAAGAAAGTAAGTCTTGAGTCAAGCTTTCTGCATAAGGAACTGCACAGAATACTGATGAACATCTTTTTTCAGACTGTGCCAACTGACACATAAAACCAAGAGTACTAGAGAGCAAAATAAGTATGTTGAAGAGATTTCAAGTGTGGCTCAAGCTGCTTACTGATTAACACTTCTGCATATAACACTCCTCACAGACCTGTGTGGTTATTGTTCAAAAGCGAAACAAGGCTCTCTTGGAAACTGGAGACAAATGATCTTCCCTGACCAAGTTCACAGTTCTCACACAGCTTAGCAGCATTGGAGCTGCTGCTTCTTCAGAGCCTCTGGGGGGAAAAAAACCCCACAAACCATCCCAACCCCAAGATTTAATGCCTGTCAACTATTTCCAGGATAAGGAAGGGACTTAATGATGTCCAGCAGGAAACACGCTCACCTTACACATGAACACTAGCTAACTGACTACTAGAAGAAAATTACAGTCACATTTGCAAGAGAATAGGAGATAAAATACACAATGATTTTTCATGTCAAGGAACAACTTAACACTGCAGGAACCATAGCAATGGAAGATACCAGCTGTCTTTTCAATGTCTCTGGAAAGGAGAACAAAGGGGGTCCATGCCTATCTGCACAAGTTTCTGCATTTCTTACAAGCAAGTGTCCAGATTTGCTTCTTCAAGCCTCATCTCAAGTATTTTCATGTCAACTCTTCACAACTGTAATGGTCTTAGTCACATACCCACAGGCTGACTACACTGGTTTTCATAGAGCACTTGAGGTGGAAAAAAAGGCCAGACTGGTTTCCAAGGCTTGAACTCCCCACGTGTGCAGTGTCACCTGCTACCAGGAGGAATGGGGAGTGCAAAGAGATGGCTACGGCTCTCATGACTGAGCTGCTCGCAATTTCTAGAAAGTCTTGCCAGACACACCAGATCGAACCACAATCACAGGAAGGAAGACCAAAAGCCAGGCTGACAGGCTGCCTTTCCCCTCCCCATGTCCATGTTGGGTGTCTCCACCAGGTTATGAGCGTGGTGGCTGGAGGTACAGCAGTTGCACCACCTCCACCAACAGCACCTCAGCATGGAATTTTGGTCACAGTGGAAATTCTCCATCAGCCAAATCCAAACTGCTTTATAACTACAATATATTGTCTTAGAGGACAGGAAAATCCACTCCTAAACTTTTAATGAACTGCCATAAGCATGTTAAGTATGACCACAGCAATTCAGACCAAGGATCCAACTCCCCCAGCAGGACCCTCCCCTCAGTGGTGCTTTCAAATAACTCTGAGGGAAAAATATAAGGTATCCTCCCCAACTACTCCCACAGCTGCCTTCCATAACCACCTACACTGGCAGGGATATGTTTATCTTTAATACTTCTTGATGGACTTCAAAAGCATGTTTTCATTCACTGAGTAAGAGAAACCAGTATAGGTGTTGAACACATTGGTCCTTTCAAAAAATATGTGTTGTTTTCAGAAAGATTTGGGGGTTTAATTACCACATGAGACCTGAGAACACTCAGGATATGCCTGAACATAGTCAAGCACACACTCACAAGTCCATTGTCTGCACAGCATGAATAAGGTGAGCAAAAAGAACAGCTAGTAGGTTTTCCAGAAGACAAAATACAATTCAGGTGTTTATAATGTGCAGATATGCTAGTAATAAATTCCTGAATACATAATTTTTGAACATCACTACATTTAGATCACAGTTCTAATTTGAACTATTTGAAATTTCAATACTTTAAAAAAAAATCTTCTTAACAGAACACTCAGTAGAAAGCTGGATTTTTAAAATTATATTCTTTTTCATTAAGACTTCTGTCAAAAGATCTGCATTGATGAAAGAAGATGAAGACCAGTGCCGGACAGGTTATGGTCTTGTGTCTTCCTTCACTCTTCTCATCCTTTCCCCCTTTCTGCTCATTCCTGCCTGATGTCTCTCTATCTCACTTTCACCTCAGCAGACACTGTCAGTAAAAATTGCTTTCTAAGCCTAAGTAAATCTAAAAGGTTTGAAACCAATTATTTACAAAAAGTGGTTAAATACACATATCAAACAAAATGAGAGACTGTAGATTTCCAGTGCCGAATACATACACTGTTATGCCTGCATTTTGTGCCTAATTTCTATGTGAAAATCTCTAATATGGGTACACAAAAATGTACACTCCTAGCAAGAAAGAAAAAAAAAGTCACTGTACTAGCACAATTTCCTGTACTGAAAAAAATCCACCACTACACTATTTTCTTTTTCATATCCACAACATAGTACTAGAAAGCATATTATACCATCAGTACCACACAGGAAGTAAAGTGACTGCCGTCAGAGATGTACACCAGCGCATGTTCAGACTTGCTTTTTTTCTCCATACAGTAACACAGCACAATGTGCTTCAGGTTCTCAAAATGCACAAAAGTGTAACAGTTTCCCTTAACATGATATCCTTTCTAAAAACCATCTCCTTTCAAAGCTTTATAGCATTACACAAGATAAAGAGAGCCTTCATGCAAAGTAAAGGCTCTCTGCATCTTGTGGCTACTGTAGATTATTAGTTCTCTTTTTGTGTGCTCAGCACCACCTCCTGTCAAAAAAAAAAAAAACCTCTGTAAAAAATAAGGCGCACAATTGGATTGCCCAAAAATATTCTCTTCTTTCCTCCATCCCAAACTGAAGCTCCTGGGTTTTTTTCAAACTGTTTTATCCATTATTGAAAGCATGAGGGGAAACCATTCCAAAATCACCACCAAGTCATTTTGCTGTGTATCTTGATGCTTCTACTATCCGATATGTTTTAAAGTAAAAAAACAAAACCAAAAAAAAACCAAACCCCTTTGAGTAGTGCAAACCTCTACAGCTGATACTGAGACAACTGTAAAAGGAAAACTGTTCTCTTCTTGAGATGAAGGTCTAACTAAAATAGGTAACTACCAAAAGACATTTCCCTCCAGATACCCACCACTAGAAAAGGACAAAACATGAAAAAGCTGCACACACATAAACTACATTAATAGTTTTATGAGGTTTACAGTCTTATTTACAGTTGTCCTATGCTTTATACAGCATAGCAACATTCAAAGTCTTAGAAAACTATCTGGACATGAGCAAGTGAATGACAAGTAAATGACACTTAGCTCTTCCACAGTGGATACGTTCCCAGCACGCATAATGGTCAACTCTGTAAGTGCTCCTGCTAACAAAAAGAACTTTAAATCGTGAGGAATTACTAATCCCAAATCCATAGAAACACAGAATTTGAAGTCCATTGTATCTGAAGTCCACAGTATCTTGTCTAATCAGCACTGTTTGTACATAAACTTCCCTAGTGCCAGCCCTTCAGCTGAATTCTCTACTGGCTATCCCACAAAATTGCAGACTACTTTACATATGTGAGAGCTAATCAGGCCAAGAAGGAAAGACATAAATGACAGCAGCTATGAACAGAGTGGTCAGGCACCACAGATCAAAATCCTCAAACCAAGGACATTAAACTAGGTGATGCTCTCTTCACCCTGGGATGCTGCTCTGCAACACATACTGCAGGTGGATTAGCTGTTATGTAGGGCTACTTTAGAGATCCCATGAGAAAGAGAGAGAGAAAAGTTCCTCCAAAGCTCAGTGTGCGAGGAGTCCACCTCTCTCTGCTGCAGCACAAGCTTACAGCTATATGCTGTGAATCACACCCACCACCACCAACAAAGCAAGCACCAGACGGGTGATCTCAGAGGTCACCCAATGAATATGTATATGCATTACCACTGGTCTGACTCAGCAGAGCACTCAAGCATGCAGTTAACTTTCAACTTGTCTGAAATTATACTGGTTTCAAGCCTGTAAGTCTTCCTGAAGAGGGATGGGCTCCTTAAGTTTTCAAAGGGAAGCAGTGAAAAAGAACAGAAGTTGGAGAGAAGTAACACTCTTCGAATAAAATGGGAAATCTCTGCCTCCTTTTCTGCATTTTCACTCAGATATCAACCCCAGCTTTTCTTGGTATTTTAAACCATTTAATTGTTTTCTATACATTAAATTCTTACGTCTATGTACATTCAGTTTCCAAAGTATGATACCAACACTCCTCCGAAAGAGTATCCCCATCTCCAGCAGGACCAGGTCAAGAAGTACTGAAAACTTAAAAGTTCTGTTTTGACTTCAAAGACCCAAGAACAGGAAGTCAAGTACTTCCTCCTGGATAGGTAAATCTCTGATACACAGGCACTTACTCACAGAGGAGCAGCCTCGAAATTTTGTGAGGACTATGCATCACTATTTTCTACAGCATAAACAGCGGTTCCAAAAAATGGATTGCAAACCTATGGTCAAGATATACTCCAAGGTGTTTTACAGCTTGTCCAGCCTATGCGCTCTAAAAAGCATGAGCACATTGCTGTTTTCATCAGTAAGCAGCTGTTAGTCACCAGCAGAAAGCTGTGTTATGCATCCAAGAAGGAGTATTTCTGATATCACTCACAAAATTCTGGTGCCACAGAACATAAAATGACTATCTGAATTTGTTGAGTCAAGAGGTTAGGTTAGCAAAGCAAAGTCAAACTACACTGTTTACAAAGAATCTTAGAACAGCTCAGGGATTCTGAGCAACTGCTGTGTAATACAAAGCCCCCAGGAATAATCAAACGATCAATTATTTTTGTGGAAAACAGCAAACCCTTTTTGTTTTGTCTCTTCCTTTGTAGTAAAAGAGTGGTAAAGAAGAGACTGGATTCCATCTACTAAAACCAGTACTATTTGGGTATGGGATAGTGGAGAAGAAATGCTATTACCAATAGCAATAGAAAAAGGAGTCTTACCTTCACCTGTGCATGGGGAGAAAGTATTTCCAAATTCTTGCTGTTTTGGCTTTAAAGACTGTGGGGCTGGCAGTCCTGGGGGCTGTGGGACTTGTAATAAAGGCTTCCCATTTGTAACCACTTGTTTCCTGGGACTTAGAGCAGGAAGGTGAATAGGACTGTCAAGGATGTTGCTCTGAGGAGCTACCCCTCCTCCAAGGGGCATCTTTAAGTGTAGGTTGGCAGCCAAGTTTCCAATAGCTGGGCTTAGGGCGCTGCTATTTGAAGATGGGCAGGGCGTTCCTGCATGAACTCTGATAGGTGGGATCTGCTGTCCGCTGATCATCATCCTAGGTCCATGAGGAATACCTGTTGTCCGATGGCTCATACTGCATGACCTCCCATTCATTTTTAAGAAGTTAATGTAATCAAAGTGTGTTTTTACAGACCCACAGCTATGACTGATACCAATCCAAAGTCAGTAAGTAATCCATTGTGTATTATGCCTGTTTAAAAAAATACATAAATAAAAATAATCGATATTGTAGTAAATAATACATGACAGAGGACTGCACATGACTGCTAACTTTGTGACATTTCTGGTTACAAGAAACAAAGTACAAGCACTATATGGTCCATCTGGGAGAAAGAACAAAGCCAAGCAATTACTTGGAGCTCTAACACAGAGAAAACCTGCCTGTTCAAAAGCTGAAGTTTGCAATAAGGTCAGCTGCCTTCACATTAGCTAAACCAGCCATGAAATTAAGTGAATGCTGACCAAGTGCACGAAGGCAGCCAGGAGTGAAAAGACTCTCTGATAGGGAGTTGTCGTTAGGATGCACACGGCTATTGCCCCTTTTTCTGCCATCTCCTCAGTCTGTTAATTAAAATGGTGCTGAAAAGCACACACAGTAGGCCAGCGCTACACCGATGTAGACAAAACAGGAAAGAGATACCAGTTCACATTCTAAAGGGTATGCATACAACAAAATGAAGAGGGAACAGCAAAACCATAGGAATGCCTCTGTCGTCCTCCAAATTCTGTGGCATTTTGCAATAGAAAAGCATTGCAAGAAAGCCGAGTAGAGCCGTATTCATACATACAACTGCAATCACTTCAAAAGCGGATGCTTATTGTAAGCCTGTAGATATGCCATAATTTAAATGTAATCATACAGTAGCAATTTTTCAAGGACATCTTACAAATTATACCAGTAATTTTGAACTCCTGGCTTTTCGTCACTTATGTTTTCCTGTTATTTAAATCTTAGAAAACAAGACTGGTAAGGGAGTTGAGAGATCATCTCAGCCATTACCTACCTCAAGGCAGAATCAACTGGATCTAAACATTTCCTGACATAAAAAAGATTTGTAGGCAAAAGCTGCACTTGTCAGTGTAAATCACTGGGGTAAGATATCACACAGATGGGGTAATTTTAGCCCTAACTCAGCTGAACAGCACATGCCCAACTTTCATGACTAGGTTCATATGTTTAACATTAAGCACACGTTTAAGCATTTTGTTCAATTGTAGACTCAGTGCCTAATTAACTTGTTCAGACAAACAAATTAAGTTGACAGAAATAAAACTGAAGTATGGCTTCAATTATGGCTTTCATTCATGTATATATCAAGGCTTTAATTAAGTATCATGATCTTGCTGCAGCAAAAGGTTGAACTGTAACTTTTTCCTTCAGCACATGAGATTTTCAACACTGAAGTCAGTAAGATTATAGCCAGTATATTCATGATTGAATTTCATGTAAAACCTTCATACTTAACCTTTTGCTTACTATGATTCTGCAATGTCTTAATTTTCTCCATCTGTGAACTGTCAAAAAAACCCAAAACAAAACACCCCCGATTATTTTGCAAAACTGCATTCATAGCACACTTCCAGATTAGAGTAAAAGCCATCTGAGTGTCTGTATAAACGCGTATGCATAAATATTCACATACTCTCTCCAGTTAAAACTTACTAATACCGAATATTATTTTCAAAGGCAAGAGCAAAATCCCTACTGACATTAATAAGAGAGATATACCCTAACCACACTTAAATGGTCATAAAAGATTTATTCTACATAGTATTTTTAATTGTTACATTTTTATATTGTGGGAATAAAAATTTTAAAGCATACCAATTAAAAGCAATATTGTTTATTTTCATGCCTGGCTGAAGCATAAATCACTCTCTGCAATTCAATCAAGGACAGGGAGAGCTGAATGTTCTTAAATTCTCAGAGCTTGTTCTAAAAGCAGAATGTACCTTGCCCTAACACAGGTGACTAGATCCTTAGAAAAGGACATACAAACAAAGGCAGTTGTTTTGCTGGCAAGGCTATACACCATGTCACTCTATATTGGCTACAAATAGCAATCATTCTCACTTGTAATTCTTGTCTGCAATTTTAACTACATTACAAAAGCACTAATATAATAAAGGAGTACACGTGACAAATGCACCAGCTTTACTCAACAAAAGCACTTTCAGTTTAATCAACAGAAGAATATTTCTACATAGCTTACACAGACCTACCACCCTATAAAATGCAGGTCAATATACAACTCATGTTGTTAGTAGGTTGGTCTCCTTTGCTATTCTTCTCCAGTAATATCATATCTTACAATGAGTAACAGTGTTCTATCCTATTGTTGTCTCAATTTTATCATTAGCTACTGCTGGGTTTTTTTACACTTGAAGAAAGGCCCCTGGGCCGAGCATTTCTTTCTGCATGCTAGTAAGCTGTATTTTGAACTGAATTACCTGAAAGTACAAACAAAACAACCTTTTTTATGAAAGCAGAAACAAGTTCAGTAATGTCTCTACATTTTCTTCATCTAGTCTCCTTCCTGATTCTATTGTGGAAACATGTAACATTACATTAACATGCAAATCAGCGCCTCCTTGCTTTAAAATATTAAAGCACCTTGGAGAGCGTAATTTTTCCCATTTTTTTTAATTACTATTTCGTGGTATTTTCAATATTATTTACTTGTTTGTAAGCGGCTTTTCACTGATTTGATTTGTTTAGTGTCAACTTCATCATGATGTCAGGACTTTCTCATATCCAAGTCAGAGTGGCCAAACTGATTCAACCCAAAACAACAGATTACCTAGAGGTGCATTAAAGCATATATAACTAACGAAAAGCCAATTGGACATGAATTATATTCTAAAAGTCTAATTGACTTTTGCATCAGATCCATAAATAGCTCCTGATTATAGCTACCTGTAATAGTAAAAAGACATGATAAATTTCTAATCAGAGTGATCTTGGAAATTGCAGGAATTCAGCACCAAACACAACAGCACCAAATACAACAGCTTATCTAGAAATAAGCTTGAAAACCCTCAATAGGGCTGAAGCTTAATGTACTAAGTTAAAACACAAAAAAAATGCAGAAAAGAATAGTATCCTGAGACTGAATGACTGTGCTGACAAATTCTTTTGTCCTACCAAAGGAACACAAGCAGTTGCAACCTTCTGATGAAATATTTCTGTCCATCAGTGAGAAATTGTAGTGACCTTTAAATGCTCCCACGGATGTTAAAGGAAATACAGTTATGTTCACTGCTTCTAAAGTATCTTTTTTTTTAAGCTGGCATTACTCAAAGCTCTATGACTCTGCATCTATCAATAACAGCATGACAACATAATTACTCAAATCCATACCAATGATTCATAAATTCACTTTCAGAAAGCCATATAGTAAAATTTAAATTCAAGCTGAAGCCCTGGAAAATCTGAACACTAATCCTTCAGAAAGCAAAACAAAAGAAGAATTCACAAATCTGTGTCTGCAGCACAGTATGCCATGTAGTCTACTTCTGCAGTGCAGTTAGGAAAAGTACTCAGAGTTGGCTTACTGCTTCACCCACTGAAATAAGAGGTAAGATCCTTTTCGACTTCAATAAAAGCTGAACTACTCTGCTGCACAGATCAGTTTAAAAAAATGTAATAAATCCAGCTCAGGAGACACTTTCACGAAAGCAGTTATCAGAGACTGGCACTTGGCGCACAGGGTAGCAAGCACTATCCGAGAAGAGTGAAAGACAATGCACCATTCCTCCTTTCTGTTCTTCCACTGGAGACACCTCACCTCTGAAGCAGCTACCATGCACCGCAGAAAGCAAATACAAACCACAACCCCCTCCCCTGGGACTGTGCGTTCCAAAACTGCGAGCGCTCTCCCTAATCCCCACCACGACCAGGGACAACCAAGCCCCTCTCCACAATCCCCTTGGCACAAGTCCAGGCAAAAAACACTTACTTCCTACCAGGGCTGAGCTACCACAAAGCCACCCAAAGGGGCTACCTTCCCCTTTAAGCTCTGCTCTCCCCTGCCAGCCCTTCCCTGTTTTGTGGCCATGGTATTTGCAGCATCACCTGTCAGTGGCACCATGGTGAAATACTCAGAAGTCACCACCTTCCCTGACATCACCCCCCTGATGAGTCAAGCTGGGTGGACCCCAGGACTGGGATAGAGAGGGGGGAAAGGACAGCCACCAAAAGCTATAAGGATGCCTCACCTCGCCCTCACCGACCACTCAGTGGCTACAAAAACTGGGCCTTGGAGGCTCCTGAGGTTTTTGCATCTCACAATTGCTTGTGACAAGGATGCACCCTAATGTAGGTGTAAGCCACCAAGAGGAAGCACTGGTATTACAGCTTTTCTACAATTATCTGGCTATAGCTCACAGGCCAAAGCATGGTAATAAATTCTTCTTGGAAAGGAAAACCACACAGAGATTTAACTAGGAAAAGAAAACAATAGCTGGGAGCTTGAAATTAGGCTTGGAACAATACGTACATTAAGACTCACAGCTGCAATAAAGGAAGACAATGTGGCTTCAAAACTGAAACTACAAAATAAGCTTTCCACTCGATTTCCAGAGAATCTCTTCCCCACCCTCCATGCCAGCCAGCATCTCAGAAGTCATGCGCTACTGAGAATAATAAATACCTCGCATTAGCAGCCACTGTTTTGGTCATCTGTATCCATTTCTTGACAACTGTACTCTTGGACCACCACAGGGGGCTTCATTCCAAACTGCAGTACTCTGACAATACCACATTTTTCTTAGGCCCAGGTGGTCAGCCAAGGAAAACTAGAAAAGGGTCACACAGTCTGAGAGTTTCTAGCTCTCAAACATCATCAGAATGCCTTCTTGACACAACATCAACGAGCAAGGCAAATGAAAACTAAAGGAGTTCCTCTATAGCACTGTTAGACAACCAACCCCCAAACATGATTGAATTTCTCAGAGCTAGAGTAATGAAATATACTAATTACTTATTACTTGCATCACTATAATTCCTAGGAAGATTAGTCACAGAAAGGAATGCCTTTGTGTGAGGGACTGTACAAACACAGAGCAGAGCACAATCACCGATACTGCTGCAA